GGGCACAGGCAACGAGACGCAGCTTTTGAGGAAACAAAAACATCTCTCCAAATGCATTTTTTAAAAATAAAAATAAAAAATTGAGAAGTTCTCTCTTTGAGCCTGCAAACACAGCATGTCAATTGTTTCACAATTTCCACACTTCCTGGCGCAGAGCTACAGGGCTGGAAGAATTTTGGGTGGTTTAGCTGACAGAGTGTTTGCTGGGACAGGACCAGAAAGGAGACAAGCATAAAAAAAGAAAACAAAAAACGGGAATAAAGGCTATTTGTAGAGGCACATAAAGTAGATTTCTGGCTCCAGACAAGTTAGTGGAACCTATTTGATAATGGGACCCCCACTGGCAGTAACAGGGCTGGTTCATTTCCTGGTTCAGACGTGCGACAATCACTGCACCTCTGGGATCTGGATTAGGGATAAAAAGATGGGTGGAAAAGTTTCTCTGAAAAGCTCGGAGTTGCTTTCCTTTGATCAGAGGGCTTCTGCTTAAGGAGGGAGAGCATGTGCAGAGTTATTCTCACCAGCAAGAAAGGCTGAAGCATTTGGGACCTCGCTGTGGGTTAAACCACAGAGCCTAGGACTTGCCGATCAGAAGGTCGGCGGTTCAAATCCCCGCGACGGGGTGAGCTCCCGTCGCTTGGTCCCTGCTCCTGCCAACCTAGCAGTTTGAAAGCACGTCAAAGTGCAAGTAGATAAATAGGTACTGCTCCAGCGGGAAGGCAAACGGCGTTTCCGTGCGCTGCTCTGGTTCGCCAGAAGCGGCTTAGTCATGCTGGCCACGTGACCCGGAAGCTGTACGCAGGCTCCCTCATCCAATAAAGCGAGATGAGCGCCGCAACCCCAGAGTCGGCCGTGACTGGACCTGATGGTCAGGGGTCCCTTTACCTTTACTATACGGCAGAATCATGGAATGTCTTTAATATTATGCAGGGCAAGGAGAAAGGGGAGAAAAGAAAGATTTTTTTCTCCCTCTCTCCTCACATTAGAACTTGTGGACATTCAACGCAGCTGGGTGAAATGAGGTTTGATTTCATCCCTCTATCAGCAAGTCAACTTGAGGAGAAAACGAGATGGGTCAGGGAACAGGAAAACAAATCACACCCACTCAGTTTGCTCCGTTGCTCTCTAATAAAATCCACGGCCTGGTTCAATTGCTTCCACACGACTACAATTAGATTTGGCAGGGACGAAATGGAGCAGAACATTCCCCCAGCCCTCCGCCTCCAAACCATGATAGTGAGAGCTGGCTGTGATGTTGCTGTGATGGAAAGCAGACCTGGGTGGCTGTCAAGCCCGGAGGAAAGAGGGTCGGGCGAGGCTGGCCCGAGGCAGGAGACAGATCAGAACCAGGTGAGATCCATTCTGCTGGTCCGTTGGGTCAAACAGATCCCAGATGGTGCTAAAGCGGTTGACTTATCGATCGGCCAAAGTTGCAGGTGTCATATATCACCTGTTCCGCATTTGCAAGAACTCAATATACTACACTTTGGAACTACCTGCCTCTTGATGCCTTCACTGTACTCTTTCCAGAGCCTGATAAAAACATTCTTGTTTGAATAAGCTTACTCAGACGTTCAGAAAGTCGATGCAAGTTTTCATCTGTTTTCGGTCTGCTGTTAATTTAACTTTCTGGAAGTTATAAATTATTGTTACTTTTTATTATGGATAATTTCATTGTTTTATCTCTTTTTTTGTAAACCACCTTGGGGTTGGTTGGTTTGTTTTACAATCAAGCGATATATAATTTTTATAAAATACAGTGGTGCCTTGGTTCTCAAACACCTTGGTACTCAAACAACTTGGAACCCAAACACTGCAAAGCCGGAAGTCAGTGTTCCAGTTTTTGAACATTTTTCAGAAGCCAAACATGCTCCGTTTTGAGTGTTATGCTTCTGATTTGAGTGCCACACTTCCATTTTGAGTGCAATGCTGAGGTCTGTTTTTGCTATTTATTTTGACTTTTTCTTTTTGTGGCTTTTTTGTTTTGTTTTTGTGACTGTGTGGTACCCAGTTCAGCTACTGATTGATTGATTGTGTGACTGCAGTACATTGTTTATTGCTTTCATTTTATGGATCAATGGTCCCGTTAGATAGTAAAATTCATGTTAAATTGCTGTTTCAATGGTAGTTTTTAAAAGTCTGGGACGGATTAATCCATTTTGCATTAGTTTCTATGGGAAAGCACGCCTTGGTTTTGGAACACTTTGGTTTTGGAACGGACTTCCGGAACGGATTAAGTTTTAGAACCAAGGTACCACTGTAAATAAATAATAGTATTATCATTGTTAGGCCGAATTGCTGTGATAAAAATGAATGTGCTGCCAAGGATGTTGTTTTTGTTTCAAACATTGCAAATTTTAGATAAGATGGATTGTTTCAAGAAGTGGCAGAAAGATATTTCCAGATTTGTTTGGCAAGGCAAGAAGTCTCGAATAAAATTTAAGATACTAACTGATGCCAAAGAAAGAGGTGGATTTGCCCTGCCAGACCTTAAATTTTAGTATGAATCAGCTGCTTTTTGCTGGCTGAGAGAATGGCTGCTTCTTGAAAGCACTGATGTGTTGGATCTAGAAGGTTTCAATAATGTATTCGGTTGGCATGCATACTTGTGGTACGATAAGGTAAAAGCACATAAAGCGTTTAAAAATCATATTGTTAGAAAAGCATTGTTTAATGTCTGGATAAGATATAAGGATTTGTTAGAAAAGAAAATCCTAAGATGGTTGTCACCAATGGAAGTGAAGGCACAGAAAAAACTCAATATGGAGGCCAAATGGCCGAAATATTGGGAAATTCTGGAACAAGATGGAGACAGATTAAAATTGCATAGCTTTGAAAAATTGAAAAACAGAGTGCGAGATTGGCTCCATTATTATCAAATAATGGAGGCATACAATCTGGACAAAAAAGTTGGTTTCAGGTGGAAAAATCAAAATTGGAAACAGAATTGTTAGATCCAAAAATCAAGAATTTGTCAAGAATGTATAACTTGCTGTTGAAATGGAACACTCAGGATGAAATGGTGAAATCAGTTATGATTAAATGGGCACAAGATGTTGGACATAACATAATGATGGCTGACTGGGAACAGTTATGGACCACAGGTATGGAATTTATGGCATGTAATGTCCTAATAGAAAATTTAATGAAAATGATTTATAGGTGGTACATGACACCAGTCAAGCTTGCAAAAATTTATCATTTGCCCGACAATAAATGTTGGAAATATAATGAGACTGAAGGTACATTCTTTCACCTTTGGTGGACATGCCCAAAGATTAAGACATTCTGGGAGATGATCTATAACGAAATGAAAAAGGTATTTAAATATACCTTTCTGAAGAAACCAGAGGCCTTTCTCCTGGGCATGGTTGGCCAATTGGTGTCAAAGAAGGATAGAATTTTTTTTATGTATGCAACAACAGCAGCAAGAATACTCATCGCGAAGTATTGGAAGACACAAGATTTACCCACCTGGGAAGAATAGCAGATGCAGTTGATGGACTATATGGAATTGGCGGAAATGACTGGCAGAATCCGAGACCAGGGAGAAGAGCCGGTGGAAGAAGACTGGAAAAAGTTTAAAGACTATTTACAGAAATACTGTAAAATTAATGAATGCTAGGAAAATGTTGGAATGAAGTTATATGGCTTTAGTAGAAATGTTATAAGGAATTAAGTATAAATAGATTAATAGAGTATTAAAGGGAAAAATAAGGTTAGAATGTGTTAAGATAATTAAAGGATAGAAAGCAGAGGAAGATGGAAAGGAATTGCTGAAACAATTAACAGAAGTGGAATACAAAAAGGGAGGTGTGAGGAGGTCATTGAAATAAGTGAATGAAAGATAAGATATTGAAACTGTTTGATGTGTTTTAAACTGTTTTTGTTTTGTTTTGTTAGTTTAATGTGTTAGTGTTATGTATTGTTTTTGTATTGTATTGTATTGTTTATTTTTTTTGTAGTGTTTAAATTGTTGGAAAAGTAATGAATATTATTTTTTAAAAAATAGTATTACTTGCTAGATTTATATACCAACCTTCATTGAGATATCACGGGACGGTTTACATGCCTGTCACTTTTAATCCTATCTGCCTGCTTTTTCTGACTGAGCCAATGGGAATACAATGTGTGCACCTGTAGGGTTTTTTTAATTGCTTTTATTAAAGATTTGATGCAGGAAAAGGAGTAACTCAGCTCCCAGGTATCAAAACCAGCCAGTCGACCAGCACTGCCTTGACTGCCTGCAGATGTCGATTACAGGCTGCAGCAACCACAGAGGTTGTGATATTTCAGCTTGCACAAACACATACCATGCTGAATGGGTCATTTGCAAATGGGCTTGCAGGCTGGCTAGCCCAGCAAAGAGGCTGATGTCCTGGGAGGATGCAGGGGGAGAGAATCGCCTTGCAAGTTTCATGGTTTTGGACATACTGTTCTACCAGTCTGTTTATTTTTTAAAACCTCTCCTGGTCCCTTCTGACCAAGTCTGCTGGAGGAATCACTGCTGCCCTTGGTCTGTGTTGTTTTCCCAATTGGACCTCACACCTGGCAACAGGGTTATTCTGAAAAGATTCAGAACAGGCTGGAGTCGCAAATCCCGTTGCCTGTGCTCCATGGCTGAAGCCTAAGGACCGCAAACAAGCCTTCACTAGAGCTCTGAAGGCTTTCCTGCAGAATTTCCAAGCACAATTCAAAGTGTTGGTGCTGACCTTGAAAGCCCTAAATGGCCTCGGCCCAGAATACCTGAAGGAGCATCTCCACCCCCATCATTCTGCCTGGACACTGAGGTCCAGCTCCGAGGGCCTTCTGGCGGTTCCCTCACTGTGAGAAGCCAAGTTACAGGGAACCAGGCAGAGGGCCTTCTCGGTGGTGGCGCCCGCCCTGTGAAACACCCTCCCATCAAGGAAATAAGGAAATAAACAACTATCTGACTTTCAGAAGCCACCTGAAGGCAGCCCTGTTTAGGGAAGTTTTTAATGTCTGATGTTTTATCATGTTTTTAATATTCTGTTGGGATTCACCCAGAGTGGCAGGGGAAACCCAGCCAGATGGGTATGGTATAAATTAATAATAATAATAATAATAATAATAATAATAATAATAATAATAGGTATGGTATAGAATAATAATAATAATAATAATAATAATAATAATAATAATAATTTATTTATACCCTGCCCATCTGGCTGGGCTTCCCCAGCCACTCTGGGCGGCTTCCAACACAATATTAAAATACAATAATCTATTAAACATTAAAAACTTCCCTAAACAGGGCTGCCTTCAGATGTCTTCTAAAAGTCTGGTAGTTGTTATTCTCTTTGACACCTGGTGGAAGGGCATTCCACAGGGTGGGTGTTACTACCAAGAAGGCCCTCTGCCTGGTTCCCTGTAACTTGGCTTCGCAGGGAGGGAACTGCCAGAAGGCCCTCAGAGCTGGACCTCAGTGTCTGGGCAGAACAATGGAGGTGGAGTCGCTCCTTCAGGTGTACTGGACCGAGGCCGTTTAGGGCTTTCAAGGTCAGCAGCAACACTTTGAATTGTGTTTGGAAATGTACTGGGAGCCAATGTAGGTCTTTCAAGACCGGTGTTATGTGGTCTTGGCAGCCTCTCCCAGTCACCAGTCTAGCTGCCGCATTCTGGATTAGTTTCCGTGTCATCTTCAAAGGTAGCCCCACGTAGAGGAGCGCATTGCAGTAGTCCAAGCGGGAGATAACCAGAGCATGCACCACTCTGGTGAGACAGTCCGCGGGCAGGGAGGGTCTCACTCTGCGTACCAGATGGAGCTGGTAAACAGCTCCCCTGGACACAGAATGGACCTGCGCCTCCATGGACAGCTGTGAGTTCAAAATGTCTCCCAGGCTGCGCACCTGGTCCTTCAGGGGCACAGTTACTTATTATTATTCCCCCTTCAAGGCTCCATCGATGGCTACTAGACATGATGGTCGGAGCCACCCATGCTTCTGAATACCAGTTCAGGATCTGAGCACAAGAGCAACTCTCTCCCCTCCTGCTCTCTCCAGCAACTGGGATTCAGAAGCATCGCTGCCTCTGACTTTGAAGGCAGGGCAGAGCCATCATGGCTAGTAGCCTTCGAAAACCCTCTCCACCTCCATGGTCGGAGGCAGTGATGCTTTTGAATACCCGTTGCTGGAAACTGCAGGAAGAGAGAGGACTCCCATGCTCAGGTCCTTTTGGGGGGTTTTCCATTGAGGTGTTTGGTTGCCCAAGGTGAGAATATTATGCTGGACTAGGTGGGCTGTTGGCCTCATACAAGGAGTTAATGAGTAACCTCTGCAATGCTGCCTTGCCGTTAATTTGAGACAGTTTGAGATAGCTGACAGACAGCAGGTAGAGATTCTTGAAAGCAAACTTTGATGATGATCGTGGCAATTGGTGCTGAAGGAAGGATGAGGCGTTGAGAGCAGAGGAGACTTGACATGTATCGGGGAAGGGCCCCAAGCCAAGCGGGTTTCTAAACTGGGTCTGGGGTAGGTTCTGCCATTGATCAAGGGAAGTAATAGTCCTGCCCTATTCTGCCTTCCAGAGTCAGTCACGACTGGACCTAATGGTCAGGGGTCCCTTTACCTTTACCTATTCTGCCTTGGTCAGACCACACCTGGAATCCAGTGTCCAGGTCCGGGCGCCACAATTTAAGAAGGATATTGACAAGCTGGAGAATGGACAGAGGAGGGGAACGTAGACGACGAGGGGTCTAGAAACCAAGCCTGATGAGGAATGGTTGAAGGAGCTGGGTATGTTTAGCCTGGAAAAAAGGAGACTGAGAGGAGATAGGATGATCTAAGTGAGTGGCAAGATGGTAGGAGTTTAGAAAATTATACATGGCATAGAGAAAGTTTACTGTGTCCAATTCTGGGTGCCACAATTTAAGAAGAAGAAGAAGAAGAAGAAGAGTTTGGATTTGATATCCCGCCTTTCACTCCCCTTCAGGAGTCTCAAAGCGGCTAACAATCTCCTTTCCCTTCCTCCCCCACAACAAACACTCTGTGAGGTGAGTGGGGCTGAGAGACTTCAGAGAAGTGTGACTGGCTCAAGGTCACCCAGCAGCTGCAGGTGGAGGATCGGAGACACGAACCCGGTTCCCCAGATTACATGACTACCGCTCTTAACCACTACACCACACTGGCTCTCAAAAAGGATGTTGAGAAGCTGGAAGAAGTGCAGAAGAGGGCAACTGAGATGACCAAAGGTCTGGAAACCAAGCCTGATGAGGAATGGTTGAAGGAGCTGGGAATGTTTAGCCTGGAAAAGAGGAGACTGAGAGGAGATATGAGAGCCATCTTCAAATATCTCAAGGGCTGTCACATGGAAGGTGGAGCATGCTTATTTTCTCCTGCTCTTGAGGGTAGGACTCGAACTCATGGCTTCAAGTTACACGAAGGAGATTCAGACTAAACATCAGGAAGAACTTTCTGACAGCAAGAGCTGTTTGACAGTGGAATGATCACCCTTGGGTGGTTGTGGACTCTCTTTCCTAGGATGTCTTTAAGCAGATATTGGATGGCCATCTGTCAGGGATGCTTTAGTTGAGATTCCTGCATTGCAGGGGGCTGGACTGGATGACCTTTGGGATCCCTTCCAACTCTCCAGTTCAAGGATTCTATGACTTTCTTATGTTCTTCCTGCTCTTGCCTCAGCTTGTGGTCAAACACCTTTGCTCTCACATTTTCCTCTCTGGCAAAAACAGATGAGCTCACTCGGGCTGGCAGCCTCGCTTTTGGCTGTTTACTAGGGCTGCACGATTCATAGGCCAACCTGGGCCTCCCTTTCCAAGAACGGGCGTTTTGTTTTGTTTCTTATCCATTGAAGCGTGTGTTGGATCTGCCTGGCTCAGTTACTCGCTGGAGATGCAGCCAGGAATTCTTCAGAGCAGGCCTTGGCTCAGCACAGAAGCATGAATGCGCTTGCTTTGTGCACCACCAAAACAGTGCCTCGATTTGTCAACTTCCCGGTGGAATAGTGGCATTGTAGAGCTGAGTCCTTGTAGACTTTCTAGCTTCATCTTGACTTCTGATATCACTGAGAAGAACCTCTGCTTTTTTGAACCCTCAGCATGTAATCTCTTGCACATCTGAGTCCTGGGTGTGAATTCCAACCCCAGAGGGTGATTTTTCATTATAATTGATTTTAAAAACGAAGCCTCCATGGTAATTGTAGGCTTTGAACTTTATGGTCTTGCTGAGAGGGTCGGGTCTTTAGACAGCAATGTATTGTTGTGGGTTTGGAGAGGGTCAGTCTGGATGATGCCCAGAGTTCCCTTCTGATTCTCAGGATCCTGTGCCCAGTGAGAGTTAGAATCTAATTTTTGTTGTTTAGTTGTTTAGTTGTTTAGTCGTGTCCAACTCTTCGTGACCCCATGGACCAGAGCACGCCAGGCACTCCTGTCTTCCACTGCCTCCCACAGTTTGGTCAAACTCATGTTAGTAGCTTCAAGAACAAAGTATTGGAGCCTCAGCTTCAGGATCTGTCCTTCCAGTGAGCACTCAGGGCTGATTTCCTTCAGAATGGAGAGGTTTGATCTTCTTGCAGTCCATGGGACTCTCAAGAGTCTCCTCCAGCACCAGAATTCAAAAGCATCAATTCTTTGGCGATCAGCCTTCTTTATGGTCCAGCTCTCACTTCCATACATCACTACTGGGAAAACCATAGCTTTAAATACACGGACCTTTGTGGGCAAGGTGATGTCTCTATAGAAGGTTCTATTGCTGAAGTGGTCAGACAAGTTTCTTTGTGAGACAATGACCTCAGCTGGCTACTTAAAGGTCCTCATCAGCATCCCAAAAGAATGGCAAAGGTTGTAAGATCTACCATGAAGTGATCGGGCTCTCCAGACTAATGCGTGGGCCATTCCTCTACCCCTCATCTCCTGCCAGATAGGAGAACAAGTTTTAGGTTTTAGCAGAGCTGGAAGCAGACTGGATGCTGGAGACACAGAGACCTGCTTGCTTTGTGCTGGATCCAAAACTGTGACTAACGCAAAAGCCAGATCTGTTGGGATGATAAACTTCTGAGCCTTATGCTCAGCTTGTAAATAAAACCATATATCCTAAAGACACCTCAGTCTCCACTGACCCTCAATCCAAGGAAACTGAACCCTAGGTAAACGTCTGGAACCCCTGGAGTCTCCCATTGCTTGGAGACTGGGGTAGTGTGTAACGGGATATCACTTCAGCCGTGAGTTGCACAATTAACCTTTCTTTTCTCCTGGCAGTCTGCTGGCATTCCATGCTTCAAAACTCCTTCAACATTCCTGGCATGTTAAAGCAAAGATAAGTTTGCCAACCTTGATTTGGAAAAAGAAAGAAAGAAAAGGAAATCTATATGTGTGCAGTTTTGCATTTTAAGCCCCTGTCAATCAAAGCACCGCCATGACTGCAGGGATATAATGGAGCCTGCTTCTGAAGTCCAGATGCTGAACACATTTCTGCCATGTTTTTGTGGTTGAAAACGATTGTGTCTTTTTAATGCCTGCCTCAAATCTGAAATTGTTTTTATAATTAGAATAATGCTGCTTTTTTGAATGGCTGCAATGGTTTTCATTGTTAAATCACTTTAAGGCATTCTATGGGAAGTAATTCATGAATGGAATACTGTATATAAGTTGAAGATCATAAAGGAGAACACTATCAATGTTCAGACAGCAGTCACGAAATTAAAAGACGTCCACTTCTTGGGAGAAAAGCAATGACAAACCTAGACAGCATCTCGAAAAGCAGAGATATCACCTTGCCAACAAAGGTCTGTATAGTTCAAGCTATGGTTTTCCCAGTAGTGATGTATGGAAGTGAGAGCTGGACCATAAAGAAGGCTGATGGCTGAAGAATTGATCCTTTTGAATTCTGGTGCTGGGGGGGACTCTGGAGAGTCCCATGGACTGCAAGAAGATCAAACCGATCCATTCTGAAGGAAATCAGCCCTGAGTGCTCACTGGAAGGAGAGATCCTGAAGCTGAGGCTTCAATAATTTGGCCACCTCATGAGAAGAGAAGACTCTTTGGGAAAGACCCTGATGTTGGGAAAGATGGAGGGCAGAAGGAGAAGGGGACGACAGAGGACGAGATGGTGGGACAGTGTTCTCGAAGCTACCAGCATGAGTTTGACCAAACTGCGGGAGGTAGTGGAAGACATGAGGGCCTGGCATGCTCTGGTCCAGGGGGTCACGAAGAGTCGGACACAACTAAACGACTAAACAACAACAACAACAACAGAGACAGGTT